GTCACACGCTTGAGGTATTCGGCCAATCACAACACACTGGATAGCTGGCCAATCAGAGCACACATCGCTTTTCAGACCGATGAGCTTTGTAAAAATCGGCGCATTTCAGAAAGGCGGGGCATAGAGGAGAAACAATAATGTACAGTATGTGGAAAATAATGTGGGTTTTTTTTACCTTAAACCGCATAAACATTTCATTACACCAAATACACAAAATTTGGTGAACTATTTACTTGAACTATTTATTCACTCATACACTTATTTATCTAACACGCATACTCAGTCTACGTTTCAATTTGCACATAATATACCTGTACATACAACTGTCTATTGTTATATACCTGTACATACAACTGTCTATTGTTATATACCTGTACATACAATTGTTGATTTTTATATGTTTATTCCTTATTTACTTTATTTTTCATTATCTGTGTTTTTTTTGTTCTGTCACTGTCATTCTGTTACACTGTGGAAGCTTCTGTCACGAAAACAAATTCCTCGTATGTGTAAACATACCTGGCAATAAAGCTCATTCTGATTCTGAAATAATGTTCTTTTTAGCAACATCATATGACCCCTTTAAAGGGATCATTCACCCAAAAATGTACATTGTGTCAGTACAATGAAAGTCAATGGGGTCCAAATCAACACTGGTCACCATTGACTTTTACCTCATGGACAAAAATATTGAGACATATCTTCTTTTGTGTTTCACACAAGAAAGAAAGTCATACAGATCTAGAATGACATGATGAGAGTGAGTATTTTGGGTGAACTATCCCTTTAAGTAAAATAAAAAATATATTTTAGTAAAAAACACTTAACACCTTTGCTTTTCCTACCATACCTTGCAGCCTTTCTTATGCGCCTCGTCAATAAGACTTTTCACAGTGTCTGCATAAGCCTGTCCTGGGTCAGGATGATCTTCTCGGTAGATACCGTGGTAAGTATCAGGAAGAGGTGCCTGTATTTAAGCAAGAATGAATGATATGTAGCAAAGAGTCGGAATTATTGGTTTAAAAGTTGTTTCTATGTCCTGTACACACCACATGCACCCACTCTTTTTGGCCCTCCAGTTTCCGGAACTTGTACGGGCTGATGTCGATGAGTGAGATGAGATGTCCATGATATGCACTGGAGAGGCAAGTAAAGATGACACAAAAATAAGTCTAATGTAGCTCTTTTTTTCATTTTCGACTGATATAAGAAACATAACAGTTCACAATTTCACATTTAAAAAGTTAGGTAAACCTTACTGATCTAGCACAACGACATCGTGATGTCGGGTATACTGACGGGCCAGTCTCAAGGCAAGATCATTAGCCTCTGATCTTCAGAAGAAGACAAAAATCCATTTTGTAGAATAATTACAGGTTGTGTTATTTATCATGTATGGTATGCATATATTGCAATTTTACAATCTGCTTAATAAAACCATTGTAAAAAAAATTTTTTGTAGAATATTTCTTTTAATCTGTATATTAAGTAAGTTACTTACCCCGAGTTGACAAAATAAAAGACGCAAAGTTTCTTTGGCAGAGTGGCGGCCAGCCGATCTGCATACAGAACTATATTATCATGGAGGAATCTAGTGTTTGAATTAAGAAGATCCATCTGAGCAGCAGCGGCCTGAGTGAGGCTGGGGTGACAGTGTCCCACTGCAAAGACAAAATGTATCAAGTATGTCATCATGATACTTGATACTTCCTCTAAGTGCTCTGTAAAGCCTATTTAAAATTCAGTGGGATGATGATAAAGAGTAGATTACATTTCTAAAAGCATACATGTTACGAAAATGTATCATGGTTTTACTACAGTAACATTAACTACGGTATGCAGGCAGAAATGTTGTAGATCTGTTAGGGGATATAATTTACCGTTTTATGCTAAAGTTATCAGGGCAACCCTGATAATTATCATAATTTCAATTTCTAATCTCTTTTGAGGTTCCCATATTGCTACTTTCCCCATAGAGATCAAGGAGAAGCACAACTAGCAATCAGCTACCTTAAATATCCTTTTTCATTATTAGCTGTGCACCTGTGTTTGCAGTGTTAAAGTTCATTGAATCAATCAGCATTAAGTGACTATAGATATTTAAATCCACACAACTGAGAAGGTGCCCAAACTTATTTCACACAATGCAATACTGCTACACTAAGAATTTCTGTCTGAAAAACATAACATTATCCGGCTTTCTCTAGAAACTGAATAGCATATCACTACGATCTTGTCTTATAAAAGAGCACATTATTATGCAGCCTCAGAGGGGTGCCTAAACTTTTGCATAAAACGGTATTTGCATTGTAAACACAACTAATAATTATTTCTTCATCATTTCTAGATGCGTTTAGACTACTATTTTAAATGCACACCACCATTTAAAGGTTTGGGGTCTGTAAGAAAGAAATTAATACTTTTATCCAGGAAGGATGCATGAAATTGATCAAAAGTGACAGTAAGACATTAATAATTTTCAAATTTCAAACAATCAGATTTGAAATAAATTGCTGTTCTTTTGAACATTCTATTCTTCAAAGAATCCTGAAAAAATATATGATTTCCACAAAAATATTAAGCAGGACACCTGATTTCGACAGGTTGAAATATTTCTTGAGCACCAGATTTATAGAATGATTTCTGCAGGATCATGTGACACTGGAGTAATGGCTGCCGATGATTCAGCATTGTATCACAGGAACAAATTAAATTTTAAAAGATTAAAATAGAAAATATTCATTTTAAATTGCAATAATATTTCTCCATATTATTGTTTTACAGTATTTTTGATTCAATAATTGCAGCCCTGGTGATCATAAACTCTATAAATATAAAGGATGTATATTAGCAAGGATGTAACTTTAAAAAAAAAAAAGAAATTATATATATATATATATATATATATATATATATACACACCGTGTGTGTGTATATTTCACATTATTATATAAAAGTGTCATAAGTATATATATATACTTATGACACTTTTATATAATAATGTGAAACTGTTAAATATAGGTCCCTATATACTGTAGCATGCATGTCAAAATGTCCTTACCATGTTGAACATTACTGATGCAATCTAAGTACTGCATGCCATTCTCATCATATAAATATTGACCCCGTGCTCTCACTATTTTCACGGGATCACGGGAAAAAAAGAGTCTGCAGGACTGCCTGAAAATACAACAGAAAGAGTATTTAGTCTGAACAACGGTTTAATAGCGTGCATTTATCAAATCAAAAACAACACCAGGCCTTATAAAAGCGCGACGTGTAATATTTGATCCAACTTACCCAATCAGCTTCCTGCGCATTTGCAAAGTCTCATCTTTATGAAAAACTTCCAGAGCCATTCCAACAATACGGTTTTGTCGTCTGCTAAACCTGACTGTTTACAGTCTAGATACCTGACAAGACTTTGAACTGCAGAAAAGAAAAAAAAAGAAACATTAAAAGAAACAGCCGACAATGTCTCGTCCCCTGCTGATGACGTCACGTAGCGCGTCCATTCTGGATCTGTTGGACTGAACCACATCGGATTTCAACGCGAAACCTGGTGTGGCATGCATCTACGTTGATATATTTCAACGTACTTCTTCTATTTAATGTATTATTTACTTTACGTTGCCTTGAGTTGCTGTGTTTTATGAACATTACCAGCCCGCTGTCAGTTACTATGCGTGTTGCTAGTAACTCAGCTAGCTTAAGACACCTGACAACTAGCAAGGAGATCTGTCAGTGTCTTTGACAGCTATAAAGCTCATGTTTATCTAGGTTTACATTTATTGCACATCTTTTGAGACCTCTTAGTGTCTGTCTGTTGTAGTCTGATTCACGGCTGCGATTAATATGAAACGTATGTGTAGCAAGTTAGCATACTGGACACAAATTTGCAGTCATGCTGGTTATTGTGAGGTCACTATTGATCTGTGTTGTGCTTTCCTGTTGCTTGAATATGACTCCCAGGTGAATTAATCAATTCATATTCATTAATGACTCATCAGAAGAGTGAGTAAATCGTTATAGTGAGTCATCTTGCACTTAAATGCACAGTGTTTTTTTTTTCCCAGATGGACTTTATGGTTTACCTAGATGGATCTCGGCTGGTTTTGGGACTTGGATTATATGCTAACTCTAATTCCCACTTTTTTACCTACAGGTTGTGAAAACACATGTTGATGGAGGACGTGCTCCAGGGAAATGACAGACCAGGGCAATAACAATCAGAACATCTCACAAAACCCCTTCGCAGCTCTCTTCAGTTCCCTCGCTGACGCAAAGCAGTTTGCATCTGGCCAAAAGCAATGTCGTCAAGCTGAGCAACAATGTAAGGTCTTGGTAATAAGCAGCGCTCTACTTGCAGGATAGCATTAATTTAATGGCACTTTGTAATTGTTTTTCCCTACAGCTGTAGATTCAGGAGAGAGCCAGTCTGAGTCAGACAACTCTGTGTCTGACAGCATCGATGACAATGATGACTCGGTGGCAGAGATCAGCCGATCTTTCCGCTCACGACAGGAGCTCTGTGAGCAGCTCAACGTCAACCACATGATCCAGAGGATCTTCCTCATCACTCTGGACAACAGTGAGTGTTTAACACCTACTGGTTATGAGAACTGTCTGTTTACTGATACACTACCGTTCAAAAGTTTGGAGTCAGTAAGATGTTTTAAAATATTTTGAAAGAAGTCTCTTATGCTCATCAAATTTGCACTTATTTGATCAGAATACAGTTAAACAGTAATACTGTAAAATATTATTACAGTTTGAAATAACTATTCAAATAACTTCTATTTGAATATATTTTAAAATGTATTTTATTCCTGTGATGGCAAAGCTGAATTTTCAGCAGCCAATACTTACATCACATGATCCTTCATAATTCATTCTAATAAACTGATTTGATGCTCAAGAAATATTTCTTATTATTATCAATGTTGAAAGTTGTGCTGCTTAATATATTTGTGGAAACCGTGGTAAAGAGCAATATTTATTTGAAATAGCAATCTGTTGTAAAATTATAATTGTCTTTACTGTCATTCTGTCACTAACACATGCAGCAAACACAAATATTGTATTAATTATACTAAGAAATGCACAACATATAAATAAGAGTTCAGTGGAGCTAACAACAGCATTTAACATAGTATGACGTTGTTTCTTTTATCCTACTTAGTTTTGCATCTGCCTAATTTAGCTAGCTTTTCATATATTGGTTTCATATGATTGGAACCAAAACATTTTCTCCTTCCTTTTAAAGGGGTCATATGATGCTGCTAAAAAGAACATTATGTTGTGTATTTGGTGTAATGAAATGTGTTTATGCAGTTTAAAGTAAAAAAAACACATTATTTTCCACATACTGTACATTAGTGTTTCTCCTCTATGCCCCGCCTTTTTGAAACGGGTCGATTTTTACAAAGCTCATCGTTCTGAAAAAGCGAGGTGTGCTGTGATTGGCCAGCTATCCAATGCGTTGTGATTGGCCGAATGCCTCAAGCGTGAGACGGAAATGTTACGCCCCTCACATACTGTTGATGCCGTGTCCGGCCGGAGCGACGAGGCAAAAACATAAAACCCATTACAAACGACGCATTTGTTGCATCCAGTGGGGACATAATTACTGATTATAATGACTTATACTGTCTTTTTACGCGTTGCGTTGCATTGCATCGCGCCGCGTAAACATAAAACCCTGTCTGCATTTGTGATCAGAGAAATGACAAACAACAAGTGCTACTCTACTGCCCAAAACTCGGGTTTGAATCATCAGTGGAAAATCCTTTAAATGAAAACGTACTTACGTGAGTCAGAACTGCCGGCATTGTAGTCTAACGTTACTCTTCCAAGATCAGTAAACAGTCCTCCATAAAATGCGCTGCACACGTCTGGATATTTGGGTTAAACTGTTCTGGAACAGTGTTGTAAATAGTACCACTGATTTGTAGTCGTGTCCTCTTTTGGAAGACCAAACAAAGTAGTTTTGCTTTCACAACGAAAAACACAGTGGTCTAGTGTGAGGGGAAGCCCCGGATTAGCGTGCGCTTAGGCCGGGATAGAGTGAGCTGAGGCTGGGCTAGCGTGAACTGAAGCCCCGGCTTAGCGTGAGCTGAGGCCGACTTAGAGTGAGCTGAGGCGGTGGGGTCGAGAACGGCGTGCCCGGTGGATCCGACGAATGAGCGGCAACCACATGTGACGGACCCCGGGCTGGATTCCACTTCATCCACGGTGAAAGTTGATGTATTTCCTCAGCGACCAGCACAGATCAGCTCTAGGCATGACAAAGTGGATATCGTCCTCTTTTGGACGTAAAAAGTAGGTTCACTTTCACAACGAAGCACACAGCGCCTTCACGACATGGCTGCAGCGTCAAAAAAACTACAGTGAGACTAAAAGTTACGCCTTCTTTCTTTGCATGAACATTTGGGCGGTGTTATGCAAATCTTCCCACATAGTGAGGTAGATATGTGGGGGCGTGTTAGAACGAGCCGTTTTAGGTAGGTGTGGTCTGAACTTTTATAAAGAATATCTCTTTGTATTTGAGACTTTAGTCTTTGCAACTTTACAGATCTTCTTTATGCACCAAGAGCTTGTAACACTCCAAAGAGAAAGGAAAAGTTTAAATCGCATCATATGACCCCTTTAAAATTAATTATTATTCATTTTTTATTAATGCTGGCAAGATAGGGTTTTAACAAAAGCTGGCTGTCCATGCAAAATAAACTTTTATAAAATAAAAATGTTCAGTGCTACATGATTAGAGGAAAAAATTTAGGAAAATGTCAACACCCATACTGCACTGGGCTTAATTAGACTATCTGTGGGCGGGGATAAAAAAAAAGATCTGTAGTTTTAGTTTTCACAGACAGCTGAAGTCTTTTGCAGAGAAATATATCTTGGTGCAGGTATCACAGAAAAATTATACATTGTTCATTTACTTATACTACCAAACACTGTAAAAGTACAAAGCTGGTTGATAATCAGCAAACTTACCCTTTAAGTTGTGCTATTAGTTGCATTTAGCATTGTTTCCCCTGCTGTCCATAACCCTAGCAGAAGAGACTTGACACATTTTTGGGTATGATAACCCACCAGCTGAGAACTTTTTTGAGATACTTTTTCCCATAATTAATCCATTTCATGTGTATGCTGAAGTGTACTTCTGGATAGTTTGAAAATAAATGAATATTAGATTGTAGATGACAGATGTCTCACTGATCTCAGTTTAGGTGATCCTATCACGATGACATGCATTTTCCAGGCAGTGCTGCAGATGACCTCATCCACTGCAGTTTGGCCCATTACGTCAATTTTGTTTCTCTCATTTGTGTCTTTATCTTTATCCTCCACATCGATCTACTGTCCATCCCACTGGTCTGCCATTCAAATCTGTATCACAGTTTGCATCAGTTGTGCTAAAAGGAAGGTTTTGAAAATGTGATATCTGAGCCCCCTGTCTGTGGCCCTAAATTCTAAACTACTTTTCAAAAGTTAGAGGACAGTAAGGTAGAAAATGATATTATTCAGCAAGGATGCATGAAAGTGATCACGGCAGTAATGACATTTATAATGTTACAAAAGATTTCCATTCCATTACAAGTTTCTATTGATCAAAGAATCCTGAAAAAAGTGTCACTGTTTCCAACAAAAATAATGAAGGGAAAGTTCACCCAAAATGAAAAATCTGTCATAATTTACTCAGCCTCATGTTGCTCCAAATCTGTATGACTTTTTTTCTTCTGCGGAATACAAAAGACTTAACTGTTTTGCTTTTGGCTACTATCCTCCTGACTACCAGGAAAAAACAGGTTTGTGAATTTAGTATTTTGTCATGTCATTACATTGTTTAGAGCATAAGAACAAATTTTGAAAAATACTATTTTTGAAAAATGATATTTTATTCTATACTCTGTAGAGGACATCGGGACTTTAAAAAGTCCTGTTTAAAAAAAAAAATAAAAAGACATAAAAAGGCAAAAACAGTGGGATTTTTGTTTTAACCAGAAATCTATTTTATTTTTTTTATACCAAACTTTATATAAAGATGATTCTCAACTATGTTATGAAAGATATTTTTAAAAAACATTTTTCTTTATGCAAAATGTGTGTAAAATGGCCATAAACGAGTTTTTCCATTTTACATATAATGTATATCTAAACTGTATCTAATTTGCATATTAATGTGTTTTTGGGGCAACATAGAATGAACAAATAAGAGCAATAATAGGAGTAATAATTAGCAAGATTTTCATAATAATATCTAATATTTAATAGGAATATCGATATATATATTTTTCTCTATTCATTTGTTGTGTCTCCCAAAATGTGTAATAAACATGCTTTAAGTCCTGGTGTCCTCTACAGTGGACATGTATGAAATTGTGATGTCCTGTTTCATAACAGAAGGTCATATTTTGATTTGAAACCCCATAACATTTTCCTGAGATGTTGATTTATGACAAACAAGTTGTCAATTCGTCACATTTAAATGATAATTACAAAATATCATATTTCCATTAGGGTGTTACATTTGATCACTAAATGAATGTCAGCCATTTTTAAAGACCAAGGAGAGGGAGTGGCCATGGTGAAACATCCAATCATTTGGTATCTCTGGAAAGCCCTGAATGTGCTTTGTACAGGACATCCAGATTAAAACTGTGACATGTAACGTCTCAGAGAAATCGCTAAAACATAATGTCCTCTACAGTGGACAAAACTCCATAGCTGGTAGTCAGGAGGCTTTTGACATCTATTGTATGGGGTTGAAAAAATATCGAAATATGTATATTTATGTACCACAGAAGAAATAACATAAGGGGGAGTTAATGATGGCAGAATTTTCATTTTGGGGTGAACCTTCCCTTTAAACAACTGTTTTCAACATCAATAATAATAAAATAAAATATGTTTCTTGAGCACCAAATCAGCATATTGGAATGATTTCTGAATGATAATGTGACACTGAAGACTGGAGTAATGATGCTTAAAATTCAGCTTTGCCATCTCGTGAATAAATTACATTTTAAAATATATTAAAATGGAAACAGTTACTTTAAATTGTAATAATATTTCACAATTTCGCAGTTTTTCCTGTATTTTTAATCAAATAAATGCAGGCTTAATGAGCATAAGAAACTTCTTTCCAGAATATAGAAAAACCCTAAACGTTTGAACAGTAGTGAATATGTGTGTTCAGAATATGCACTAAGAATGCATTTATTGTTGAATTAAAATAATATCTTTCCAGGTGACCCCAGTCTAAGAGGTAGTAATGGCATCCCACCACGCTGTGTATACCTTGAGGAAGTGGCTGCTGATCTTGATGGCCAGGACTGGCTTAACATGGACACCATAGAACAGGTACAACATGTTAATGTGTCATTCTTTTCCAGTTTTGCATAATATCAGATAAGTTGTATACACACATATATGCACACGTATATTGTGAACTTTGAATAAGAATAATATTCCTTATTTGCTCCTCCAGGCTTTGTTCAGCAGGCTGCTTTTGCAGGAGCCGGGAAACCATCTCATTTACATGACCTCCTGCAGTGTCGTGAATCTCTCCGCAGATCGTGATGCAGGAGAGAAACGTGCCATACCGTACCTTTACGCTTGCTACTGTAGAGCTAAAGAGGAGGTATTTTCTGCAGACTCTATACTTTGTCGGCCTGTTCAGTTGTGCCAAAAGAATGAAATGTGGCTGCTTGTTGCACTGTTTATTCGCTTTATTGCATTGTTTGCGCTTAATGCAATGTGTTAATGTTCTTCAAATCAACACAGATCACTAAAGTCCCAGAGAAGCTGTTATCGTATGCAGTGCACTGCAAAAATTTTACTGTGTCCAATGCCCGCACTGTTCTGCTGACCCCAGAGATCTACATCAGTCAGAACGTGTATGAACAGCTTCTGGACCTGTTGCTGGAGGCTGTGAGAGGAGCCCGTAAGTGTCACATTTGTGGTCATATGATACGTTTGAAGGTCCTGAACCAATTCCATGTGTTTGACTTTGTTTGTGTTATGATCTCTGCAGAGTTTGAGGAAGTTGTGGAGTTTTTGGATGAGGTTATAGCTAGTCTGTTGGCTGACCAAGAAGTGCGGACCTTCGGGGAGGTTATGGTGCCAGTGTTTGATATTTTCCAAGGCCGGGTCAAAGACTTAGACCTTTGTCAGCTGCTGCTCTATTCCTACCTGGAAATTCTCCTGTATTTCAGTCGGCAAAAGGATATTTCTAAGGTTCGGATCCAATGCTCATTAATGCTAATGTCATTGCAGTTTCTTTCATATAGATCAAACATTTTTTGGATGATAATATTCTGAACCTAGGTTTTAATGGAGCATATTCAGCCCAAAGATCCTAACAGTGGGATTCAGTATCAGAAAACGCTTCTGGGAGCAATCCTGAATATTTCTTGTCTGTTGAAAACCCCTGGTGTGGTTGAGAACCATGGCTTTTTCCTCAATCCTTCTCGTTCCAGCCCACAGGAAATGAAGGTTCAAGAGTCAAATATACACCAGGTGGGCACAAAATTGAAAAAAGCATGGTTTTCAAGCTTGATGACATGAAGCCAGCCACTTATTCCCTTTCATTTCTTGTCTTCCCCTATGCTAGTTTATGGGGCAGTTTCATGATAAGCTGTATCAGATCCTGAAAAACTTGCTTCAGCAGTCCAGCGAGACACGCCACCTGCTGCTCTCGTGGCTGGGTGGCTGCCTGCAGGCCAACATGGGGCGGGCAAAAATCTGGGCAAACCAGATGCCCGAGATATTCTTCCAAATGTTCGCTTCAGATGCATTCTTCTTAAATCTGGGCGCTGCACTGCTCAAGCTCTGCCAACCGTTTTCTCGACCCTACTCGCCTAAACTCCTGACCTTTAACCCCACGTACTGCTTGCTTAAGGAGCTGAGTGAGGAAGAGCAGCGTAACAGAAACGTGCACGCAAGAGGTGACTGGCCTGTGCTTCACCTACCAGACACTACCTTTCATTTCTCTTCCGAAATAACAATCTAAACTCAAAAATATACCTCCCCCTACAGGTCTGGACAAGGAGACATGTCTGATACCTGTTCCCCCTCAACAAACGGTTGAATTTGCCCAATCATACAGCCTTCTCACAGAAAATCTCATCCTTACACAACTTACACTGTACCTGGGCTTCCATAGGTAATACTTCATTACGAAAGAGTCATGACACTCATATATTTAAGTATATATATGCATTTATTTGATCAAAAATACAGTAATATGAAATAACTGTTTTCTTTTTAAATATATTTTAAAATGTAATTTATTCCTGTGATGGCAAAGCTGAATTTTCAGCAGCCATTACTTCTGTCTTCAGTGTCACATGATCTTTCAGAAATCATTCTAATATTCTGATTTGGTGATTAAGAAATATTTCTTGTTATTATCAGCGTTGAAAACTGTTGTTTATATTTTTGTGAAAATGAATAGAAACCTCAAAAGAAGAGCATTTATTTGAAATAGAAATCTATTGTAACAATATAAATGTCTTTACCATCTCAATTTAATGATCAATTAAAAAAAAACTCACAAGTTATCAGTTTGAATCAGTCTGCCAAAATATTTGCTGCCTGAACTCTATAAAGGCTTTGTCAGAATAGCTACTGAATTAACATGCAAGTTAAATTATTGTTTATTTTAATGTATGTAGTTATGACCAGTTATGGGGGTGTAGTGATGAACCCAGCTGCATTATGTGGGAAGCACTGATTTGCAGAAAATAAACACATGCTTTAATGGTATTTGTTTGTCAGACTTCATGATCAGATGGTGAAGATGAATCAGTCTCTACACCGGCTGCAGGGGACATGGCGGGACACGCAGCTCAGTGGAGGCGCAGCAGCAGCAGAGCTACGGGAACAGTTTGAACGCCTCATGACAATCTATCTCTCAACCAAGGCTGCTACAACGCAGCTCGCCATGCTACAAAACTGCCTCAACCTCCAAGCCTCCTGTGCCACCCTGCTGGTTCAGCTCAGCCTGGGCAACCAGGGGTCTGAGCACATCCCTCTCATCTTTCCCTTACCTGCACTAGAGAACAGCCTGCTATGCTTTGTGCCAGGTATCCCCCTAAGTTTTTGTGTTCCTTTTCAGTAAACAAGCTCGTTTCCACCACCAAATTAAAATAAATAAATAAAAAAGCAATTATGACTTATTTTCCCTCACAATTCTGAGTTTATATCTCATAATTCTGACTTTTTTTCTTGTTAACTCACAGTTGAGGGTTTATGCCTTGGAATTTTGAGGGAAAAAGTCAGAATTGTAAGATAAAAAGTCGCAATTGTGACTTTTTATCTTTTATTCTGTGGCAGAAACAAAAAATGTGAGGTGTAAACAGAATTCACAAGAAAAGAGGCAAAATTGTGATTTAAAAAAAGTCTACATTTTGAGCTATAAACTTAGAAATGCAAGGAAAAAGTTTGGATTGTGAGATGAAACGTCACAATTACCCATTTTATGTATATACCTGTGGGCTGCAATTTTTCAAAAACCCAATCTCTTGACACTTTCACAGAATTCTTTGCCGAAAACATAGGCGATTTCTTCATATTCCTCCGCCGCTTTGCTGACGAGGTGTTGGAGTCCTCGGCGGAAAGCTTAGAACATGTCCTGACCTTCATCACTGTGTTCATGGGCAACGTTGATAGGTGTGAGCCGGAGTAATGCTGAGTTTCTCGCACTTTTTTTTTTTTTTTGCATTCCATGTGGCTTGTTGTTTACTCTAGGTTATTTACTCACAGAATGAAGAATCCTCATTTGCGCGCAAAGCTGGCAGAGGTTCTTGAAGCTGTGATGCCCCATATGGAGACTCTGTCACCTGGCGCTGTCCAGCCTATCATGTTCCAGCGCCAAAGGGTGTTCAGCACATATCGGCATGCACCCCAACTTGCTGAAGCCCTCATTACAGTGTTTGTGGATATAGAGTTCACTGGTCAGTTTCTGGAGTTTTTTTCTGTTGTTAATTTGATTGTAACATCCTATATTAGATTTTGTCAATGGCTTGTTTCTCAGGTGATCCTCATCAGTTTGAGCAGAAGTTTAATTACAGACGACCAATGTATGCCATTCTGAAGTACATGTGGGGAGAAGAGAGCTACAGGGAGAGCATTAAGGTGAGAACAGATGTTTTAATATTATAAATAATATTTAGGTTGCTTTGAAATTTTGTTCATCCCTTGCTCGCAATTTCACACAAAAAACATTTGTTTTCGCACAGCGTCTTGCTGATTATGCATCTGAAAATCTTGAAGCCATGAATCCACCACTCTTCCTGAGGTTTCTCAATCTCCTCATGAATGATGCCATCTTCTTACTTGACGAGGCTATACAGGTACTTGTCTGCCTGGGCAGATTGCTTTTGTTTTATGCAAATGCCAACTATTTATACTGGTAACACATTTTGTTTGTTCAATTTAGCTTGGTTGTTCAATTACATGAACATATTAACCTCTAAGTAGTTGATATCAGGAATATTTAATTGATTGATTAAAGATGTGACACTCACAGGTGCATCTGTTCCTTCCAGTATTTAAGTAAGATCAAAATCCTCCAGCTGGAGAGGGATCGGGGGGAGTGGGACAGTCTGGCCCCTGATGCCCGCAGAGAGAAAGAATCTAGTCTGCAGATGTTTGGACAGCTGGGTCGCTTCCACAACATCATGTCAAATGAGACCATTGGCACCTTGGCTTTCCTCACATCTGGTAAGAGACGTGAAAGAAACCAAATGCATTAAAATATTAACACCATAGATTTTTTTTTTTTGCAGTCCGCTCACCATGGACCAGATCAGGCCCAATGAAGAGCTCAGGCAACAGATCATGAAGTGGCTTGCTGATCATAAGCAAAGCAACCAGCAAATGGGACCCAGTGGTTAAACCACATCACTCCCTTGAGTCCCTTCCCCCAGCACCCAGGCATGCTCTTTATGACTAAGCCATTCAGATGTTTCTGGCCTCTCTCTTACCGCTTTGAAACAAGAACATTTAACCATTCGGAGGAGCACGCCTGCATTCATGCTGTTAATGTGCTCCTCAGAGGTCAAATGCAGATCTCCAAATGCCATATCACTGTAGCATATTCGGCTATCTGTTCTTTCAAACTCCTCAGAGGTCTGAGGTCTCCACAGACAGAACTCAATAACCGGAGTCACTTTTTCTGTTACATTTTGCCTTGCAAAGATGTTCACTGTGGGAAATGAAACTCGGGCTTATAGACAGATGACAGCATACATGAGGCTTGCTTACCCAACCCTCTACGGACACCTTGGCAATTGAATCGCCATTGGCTAGTAAATTTTTTCGTTTACTTGCCAGACTGATATATATATATATATACAGTGGGTACGGAAAGTATTCAGACCCCCTATATATATATATATATATATATATATATATATATGTTTGTAAAATGGCACAGTTTTTTAAATATCTGAAAGTACACTCTTAACATCAGTCAGTCAATCATTATAATATGATAATCAAGTATTATTTAATGATAGAACTTTAGTAATTAGAATTAAAACTTGATAACCATGTATGAATGCATATTAGTCATTTTAACTGAACTTAGGACTGGCGGTGGTGCTTTTTTGGTCATTCAGTGTTTCTGTAAAAAAAAATTTGGGAAAAATACTGACAGGATAATAATGATACGAATTCTACCAATAAGAACAATATAAAACGCACTAAGGATTAATGAGCTGCTGGATTCATTCATATTAATAAGGTGTGCGTTCGCTCGAACTGATTTTCTGAAATCAAAACGGGGACGATAATAAGTGAGCGCCAGCCAATGAGGTTGCCGTTTGCGCATTAGTCCCGGCCACTACCGGTGAAAGCGGCATTTCTTAAAAGCTGAAGAACTCCAAAGGAGCGCTGTTATTTTGACAGGAAAATACAACAAAGAATATTGTTTACATGTAGCGCGTCAATTCTCTCTCTCTCTGCGTGTGTGTGTGTGAGACAAAGCGACGGCGCGCGCCTTGGAGGAGGAAGAGTTGTGGACTCATTTGTATTGATTAAAATATCAAAGCAAAACAATGTTGGCTGCAAAAGAAATTAAACTATCACAAAATATTTTGCTAACATCATCAGCATTATATACCACAGAGTTTCCATTTTTAAAGTTGTACCTATTGGTTTTAAAGGCATCTGTGTTGCATAACACAGCAGTAACACGTCGGATTCTTCTTCGTGGAATGGTCGGTAGCTTTACCATTTGTCAAAATGCTTTTGTTATTACAGACATTTTATGCTTGAAGCTCAAGAAGCATTTGCTGTAATATGCACTTTTATGAGACTCATTAAGAATATTGAGCTCTTGTTGAAATGTTAAGAAATACCCCTGCACACTTTACAAGAATCCATTGTGTCTTTTAACAGTGCAATATGTCCTGAGTAATGACCTCTTTGACTTCTGAGTCAGCCTTATGACCTTCTCTCATGCAGTGACATCATGTCTCTTGTTAACAGTTGCAAAACTGCATGCTCTGGGTGCATGGACCTTGCTACTGACATTTGTCTTAAAAGATGACATTGATAAGATACTGTCCAATCACTGCTTTTGGTTGTGAGAGAGTTGCATTAGATTGACCTGTCAAGTGGTGTAGGGTATGTCTGCATTTTGATTTTCACTGAATTATTTCGGTGAGTGTTAGTTGGTTTTAAGTCTGAAATTCTTTATTCCCTCATATTTTCAAGACCTCAATCAATAAACCTGACCCCATGAATTCTCAAAGCAAACTGAATGCTTTAAAGCCTGCTGTGATATTTCTGTCTGTTAGATTGTGCATTTGCTCACTCATTTGTCTCTTTTAACACAATTGAATCAATGGAACTTGTTTTTGTTAAATAAAATTTGAGTGAATTTTTTTTAATTGTATGTTAAATGTGCTAATGGATTTATTGCACAATATAGCATAAAACAAATCAATGTATTGTAATTAAAATTTCTAAAATGAAAAGCAGTGATGTGTAAATGTTTTTAATCTTTTAAAAAGTTTTTGTAAATATTAAGTCAAAAGCTTCCATGGATTTACGTGTTTGGATTTATGTGTTTGTTTAGAATTTACTATACATAGGCTATATGTGTGTTGAGAGATTCAAGCTTGGAAATTAGACATTTCATAAGATTTCTTAAAAATGCAGTCTAATTATTATTTTTTTTGGTAAAAATGATCTAAAATCAATTATTGAGCAAGTAAATAACCAATCAGTGTTCAAAACCATCTCCTTAACTTAGCCCGATAACGGTAAGCTTGTAATAATGTTTTCTAATTTCAGTGGTTCAGGTCAGTTTCCGTGGGAAAAACGGGTTTGCCGCGATTCCTCTTTGTATCATTGCGTCACGTCTGAAAGAAGGACATAAAGAAGCATTCCCGGTTAATGTCGGCGCCCATGGCCTCGTGGGGCGCTGCGCTTCGGGCGTCCCGAGTTCGAGTCCTGACTCGCGGACTTTTCCCGATCCCACCCCCATCTCTCTCACCCACTTCGCTTCCTGTCGACCTACTGTCCTTTCTAAATTAAAAGGCATGAAACGCCAAAAATAAATCTGAAATAATTAAACTTATTAAAAGGTGCATGATGGTAATGAAACACATGTAAGTGACTGAAATTATATTCCAGTTTTAAATGAGCATCTGATTACAGTAAGATTAGAATGAATTTACAAAAGAGTTTTATGTCAAAGAGAACGAGTTCTAATGAACATAAATTGCTTTTGGCGGTTAAAAACAATTTTATTATGAAATTCGAATGGTATGACAATTAGAGATTAGACTGTACAGAAATTAAGTTACAGATAACGCTAATACACACTAAATAGTAATCATGCAATGTTGATGTTGTTAACATGAACAATTTGAAAACAAAGTATAACAAATAATTTGCAGGGTTTGACATAATCTGAGCTAACTTCGCTACTATTAGATTTAATTGCCACTGGTAGCGCAATTAAATCTAATTGGGGGGGGGGGTCGGTCGATCAGAACAAAACTGGCAGACATGCTACTTATTTGTTGATATGACATTTTCTGGTGAAACTTATTATTTTTGGGCATACTTCCAAGATGTAGCATCTGAAATACAGAATATCCACACTGGTGCGACTGACAACTAACATTAGTCAACTTCACCTAAAAATGCAAGCTCTCTGTCTCTAGGTCGCTGTAGAAACGTTGCTTAATTGCTTCAACCAATGGCGTGAGCTCAGGGCGGGGCTATCTGTTTCCCTGACAAATAGTACATGGGGGCGTGTTCAAAGAAACCTGTGCGAAAACAGTCACTATTTTTGCAATTCCATTTATTGACGGTAGGGGTGCAGAAATTACACACGCAATTTAATGCAATTTCTACAAATTAGAAATACAGAGGAAAAACGGTTAAATATAAAAAATTAAATTAGCAAATGTTAAAAACGTAACTATTAAATATGATTAAGTTCTCATAGACTTAAATATGAAGACTATATGAAAAGTGTTAAATTTCGCTAAGCAATCTTCCTGTGTCTGATGTACAGTTATTTCCCCCCTCCCTTGAGTATCCCCGACGAACCTGCGTGAAAACATCACTGAGCCTGCTCTGCGCTGGGATCTTGTCGGGGTCTTCGGTACCTCCACCCCGAAACATGGATAATCCATTCTGACCGCTAGACCAGAGCGGCCGTGTGCGGAGATCGCTCGTTCGGGGCTACGCCCACACTGAGCTCCTGATCCTAGGGCAGGCAGGCAGAGTGTAAAATGGCGCACAGCTGTCGGTGGCGGTTCCCTGCTCGGCCCGGAGGGAGCAGCAGCTCGGGCACCGGGAGGAAAGCGGGCCGAATTCGAGTCAATGCTTCCCTCCGAAACAGCGCGGGCACTAATCCGAACGCGAACGGGCTCGGGCCCGGTTTCGACGATGCGTTGCAAGTGTCCGCTGCCATCGGCAGCAACCTGCAGAAATTTCGGGATGTTTTGGGGGAGTCGAGCGGCTCCAGCAGCGGGGAGGTAAGCGGGACCCTGGCTAAAGCGTTAGCCTCATTCATGATCAATGCAGGAATTAGAAATAACTCCGCGGCTGTGTAGCAGCTCTAAGTTGCTCAGTGAGGAGAGTGAGTGAGTGAGTGAGTGTTCTAGTTATTTTGCTGCGCAGCAGACACATGCCTCCATCCATGTGCTGTTTTCTCACTATGGGACTGACAGGCTAAACTGCTAGCTAGCTCACATCAAAACATGTACCTATTCCTAACTAATGGCTGATGTTGCTGTGCTTCTGCGGTCTGATGTCTATGTTGAGGCGTTCTAGCATCATATTTCAGGACCCCGAGGAGTTTAGTGCCATTTTTTGACAGGATGGAGATGTGAAGCTAGATAACTGATGGCTGCTTTGGGTTGAACTTGCTTCAATTTGATTCGGAGTCTCGTGCGTTTCATGTGACACCGCTTTTTGACTTTAAACACTATGAAAGCACTTTTTCAGCTAAAAAGCGCAGAAAATGCCCTGCTTAATGCACAGCCTGTCAAAAATTAGGTCCAAAAGAGTTTAAAGATAGATAAAGGATGAAGTTTAAATATTTTTAGTAGCTTTCAGTTGTTCTGATCATTTTAAATGGAATTTTTCGCCCATAAGAGATTTAATGATACCTTTTGATGACTCTATATTGGACTTTCAAGTTAACTCACCGTGTTTCTTTCACCTAAAGACAACTAGGTTTAAAAGCCTGGTGGTGTATAATGGAACTTTACGCTCTCGTAGAGAAATAAACAGTTTAGAGTGTTTCAGTAAGCATAAACGAGCAGATTTGAGCAGGACTGAACACCAGGTGCCAGTTGGTTGTTGTTGTCTGAGCATTTCGCGATAGCATCTATTCCAGCTGTAGTCTGTTTGGATTCATTTTAAAGTATTGACCTAACGTTATATGAAAGCGTAGATTGAGTTTAGAAGATGTAATGCTCTGCTCCTAAAACTATCGTGGCCGTGCATGTGTGCACTTCTGATATTATTTTGTCCAGTTATACACTGCCCTCTAGCTTGGGTTGAGAAATTGATGATACTAGTAGCATAAACAATGTTGCTATTAAAATACGCAGCCTGGTGTGTTTTTGTTGCGGAGAATGGGGCTTATATTTACAAATTGCTCGTTCTGTTGCAAAAGTTTGCAGTGTGTAATTGTAAACCTCTCGTGTTTGATCTCCTTCACCCTCGAGAGGAGGCTGGCTAACGTGTTAGCCTGTTAGCACCCGCTGATGCACGGGAAAATGGGAGGTGGACATGTTTTTTTCCCTCAGATATTGCGTAGTAGCAGTATGCATGCGAAAAAAATGTCATATTTCTATCAGGAATCAAGTGATTCCTGTGCAAAACCTCGCTGAGGCTACATGAACCATATGTTTAGTCAAAGACGCCAATTGCAGTGTTTTGAGCGGTGCAAAAGGCGGCTGCAATAAAAAGGCAGCGTTTGACGGAGGTTGTTATGTGTGGGGGTGTGTACTGTGACAAACTACCATCTTCCTTTCTCAGTAGTAGAGCGCTGCGCATCGGAAACGCGGGGAGATCGAAACGAGAGCGGGCGCGAACCAGAAACATGCAAACAGCGTGCTTGATTTTGTGTTTCGCCTACGGGTAATTTAGCGTTTGAAAACGTGGCGCAGATTTAAGAGCGTGGAGATGTGATTTTAGACATGATGTCTTGAGGTGTTTTATATTTATGTCTGTTTATATATGTACGTATATACAGTATACTCATTAAATTCACTCCTCTGTCTTATAAGGTTACGATAAGAAGTCTTATTCTTATTGCTTTCGTTTGTTTTGTTTACATATGTCATGGTAAATCACTCCAATGTTATTGTACAACCGTTTGTTGTTTTTAAGGCAAATTTACTTGAAATGTTTCCGTAGGAGTCAAAATTAAGTCAAAATGTTCATTTTAAATAAATCTTGTTCTTGTCATGTTGAAAACAATTGTTTCTGTAGGCTTTAATCAAGTTGTAGTAATTTGCTCCACCTCTAAAACAACTTTCCTTTTCTTGTGATGTCTCTTAGGCCATGTCGGCTATTGGATCATGTTAATTATGCTAACTTTTTAGGCAACCTTGTTCTGCCATACTTTTTTTTTTGTCATTGAATATCCTTCATTCATAAATATGCCCCAGCATAGAAGTAAAAGGGTTTGCAAATTACAATGTATGTTGACTTTAAGAAATTATTTTAAAAACATCAACCAAAGCTTGCATTATTGTGTGCATTTTTTAGCAGTTCGGTGTGCTTTAATGCACCCTTGGAGCTTTTTTGAATAGCGCTCAATTAAAACACGAATACATTTGTGAAACATATAAGTAGTGTGTATAAGCTAGACAGACGGCTAAAATCCCAGCGGAGCTTGCTGCTCATGTGAGTTGCGGACACAGCATTGTAGTTTCATTCAGAGGGGATGTTGTGCCTGGGTTGGATTGTTCTGGTTCATCGTAGCCCACTGAGCTCACAGTGCAGCCTAAGGCCAGTAGCATGCTCAGTAAACAGAAGCATGCCACCCCTCCTTCCTATCAGACCCAAATCAAACAGCACGGGCCCACAGTGCCTCAATAGTATTTCACTTCTGATGGCTGCCTTTTAGTCTACTTCATTAACGGTTGTGGCTAGACGGGATACAGCAAAAACTGGAAGCTAACAATAAATTGAAATTTCTACCTAGTAGATTGTGTTTTATTAATGTCTACACCTACCCCAACCCTAAACCTACCCCTTACAAGAATGCAAAAATAGTAATTATTGTTGTACAGTGTGAGAAAAATAATGCTATATTGATGTGCGCATGCCCAGTAGTTTTTGCTGTATGCCTTCTAGCCTTAACCTTCATTAACCCATTTGGATGGCTTAAACTGTTTACGTAGAGTTAATATGTCTCCAGAAAGCGAAGCTTTTGATGTTCAGAATCACTTTCGAGATATTTTTGTTTAAAGCTAAAGTGAAAATACGAGTCTGTGGCTGCTTGCTAGACAACTGTTACTTTTAGGAGGTGTCCTGTTTAAGTCTTCATTCATTGGTTTCTTTGTGCGGGACGCCATTTGGCTTGCCTTTTAATGTCCAGAGTAAAGCCCCGCTTAGAGAAGCAGAATGAGGATCAATATCAAGGCCTCATACAAAAGTGCAGTTGAATGGATACAGCAAATGAATGCTTTGCTCCGCTGCTTTCTAATGAATGGCGTGGCCTATACGGAGGGAAGAAGTCCAGCAGGTGTTTGGCCTATTTATCTGAAGAAGGCCCTGTCCCCTAGACAGCGTGTGGATCATAGCAGGAAGCTTTGTGTCTGCTTTTATTCCAGCCTTTACGAAGTGCAGGCAGCTGAAAGAGCACAGACGTGGATCTCAAAGGGTGAAGAGCAAGCCCTCCTCCCCCTGGGACAGCGCTGGGAGGGAATTAGACACAGGACGTCCCATCCATGGCTTTATTCCGCTTTTGTAGGCGGACAGAGGGGGTTTCTTTTTGCTCCGAGGGGGGGGCAGCAGTAGCCATTGAGCGCATGGAGCAATTCTCTCCAAATTTACGTCCCTCATTTCACCTCGCAGGAGGCGCATCTTTGTTTTTATCTTAAAGCCACAGCTCCTCGTTAGCGTGGGTGTGAGGTGTTGGAACATGTTGTTTCGGAAACTCTCAGTTTTGGGTGCTTTGAATGTGGGTGCATGAGCAACATCAGAGCATTAGAGCTGCATCTTACGAAGTGAAATTTCTCCTGATTCCTTTTGTGTTATAAAAGTGTTTCGAGAGACTCGAATAATCGAACTACCGGGGTTCCCCATCAGTTTCGTGTTGTTTACTCTGGGGGTTTCAAACATGCTAAAAGATTTCTCATGTGTGACCACGCAAAGTGTTCTTTTTCCGGTCAGATGACCAGACAGGTTTCTTTTGTTGATAGGTTTGTCCATTTTGGCTGTAAGCTGAACGTGCCATCAGTCTGACGGTCTGACCCCATTTTTAATGTTTTATGCATTGTGTTTTGTATCTGTATCTTTTATACAGGCATTTTTGAGGGAATCTGATGCCTCAGCAGTTGTCAAAACTTCACATTGTTTAGAAAATGGTGATTCAGTGAATTTCTGAAAGGCAGCACTATCACATATCCCCGGGCTTAGAGATGATAATCAGTTACATGTCTTGATGTGGATATGTTGGCTTACTGTGATTATAGGGGTGTGAGTGTGTGTGTTTGGTATAGTTGGCCACACACACAGTAGTGCAATTATGTCCCGCTCTGGGGAGGGAGAGTTGCCAGGTTGCAGTGTGCTTGCCAGTTTATGCCCAGTTCTTAAGCGAACTGTAGATGCCATGTTGAGCAACTTTCCTGGGTTTATGACCATCTGCTCAGAACAGGATGTAATGCGTTTATGTAAACCAATAGTCTTGTTTGCTTACCTTTTATTTACGGGAACTGAGAGGTGGCACAAACAAGTACTTTATCTGCTCTTTTTGGAAAGGAGGATGTTGATTTGTAATCCTGTTCTGTCCCTATTGGGAGTGTTCACATGTTTGGGGTTTGATGATCAGCCTTTTCACCAATCAATCAATCATCCGTTCTTAAAACTCATTGCACAGTGGCCCTATAAATATTTAAAATGTCAAACCAAGCAGCATCTGCAAATATATGGTTGTAGAACTT